GTTGCACTCAGCTTCCGAAGGTATGATTCGGTGATTTGATTGGTTCTAAATAATACCTTGCTGAAAATGTGCGGCCGTACCATACAGCACAATATCCCTGTACTTCGTAGAGCTTTCTGCAGCCTGGGATCTTAGTCAAAAACTTCGTAAGATCTTTAGGAATGGAGCCATGGCACCTATTACTACTGGCACTATGTCAGTTCTAACATTCCACATTCGACTGACCTCGATTACAAGATTATTATATTTTTAGATCTTTCTCAGCAAATTTTTCTGTTATCATTTCATGCAATGGGACAGATACATCAAATGAGGAGACACGTTTTTCTTATTATTATTATTATTATTATTATTATTATTATTATTAATTATTTATTGATTATATATTATTATTATTATTATTATTATTCATTAATTGTCCTACATTATTCACAGTTATCTACATGGTCGGTATTGTCAACCAACCACAGGTATGATGACCAGGTGTGTGGTTGCTTACTGAAGGTCAGATGAGCTTCTGACAAATACGCGCAATGTATTCAAAAATTACCTGTCTTTTGCATATTAGTATACATTTCCTGGTATCCAAGTGAAGACACCCTCCATGCCCGAAGTGTCATTTTCGGGATCACTCGTAGCTGATATTATTAAATAGCCACAGTCTTCACTTTACTGAAGTTCCCACTGAGTTGCGACTTCATAGCGAGATTGGTTACTTCTGGATCTTCTCTGATATTTTCCCGATATGTGTGGGTATTGGCGGTATGTATATCGATAAGGAAAACCTGCCGTGTGGTTCTATCAATTGTACGTTATATTCTGTCTATTGCGCCGACATTTCTGTCAGTGATAATGGAACGATCCAGTAGAGTGTGTGCCTCACTAACTTTTCAAGCACATTCTGAGGGCCATATTTATAATATCGGCACGGAGTGGCTAGTAGCCCGTTCTCAACGCCAATAATTTGGTGTACCTGCTTCGCCACTTCATCATGCCTCTTTTTGTATTCCACCTGTGCGTGGCTGCTACATCCACTTGTTACGTGTTTGGATAGTTTCGGCTGCAGCCTCACATCTTCTACGCCGATCGGACATGGAATTGGTAGAATCTCTCAGAATGTGTTTTCTGTAGTTCAATGTTGGTGACCACCTTGTCCTGCGATAGCTATCATGAGCTTCTGTCTGCCGGAAGAGATCCCCGTGCTGGAGCCATGCGCTTGCGACGCAAGAGATGTCGCTTTCTGGTTTACTCAGCTCGTGAGGGTACCTTCCATGCAGCTGCCTTTGGCTTTCCATAAGGTTATCTCTCTTCCGTTTCAAGTGATTGGTTGAACAGGCGGATCAAGCTTTTGTCAAGTTCAGAGACTATAGTATCAACTTGTGCCCACTGGCTTGCTGAACTCTCCCCACAATGTTCCAAGAAAAGTATTTTTCTTTTCTGAGTGAAGCCAATTTGAGAGCTGTGTAGATTTAATGAGATCTACAATACCTCGCCTCCTTGCGACCTTGGAAGTGGTAAAACGGCTCAGTACGTGAATGGGGATGATGTTTTCGGTGGTTGAGTCATAGCGGTTCGATTGTTTCTCTGGAGTTGTCGAGGTCCGGTATTTGCTCCGTTTAATAACGCCAAAGGAGTATGTCAGCTTATTAATTATATTTTATTATTATTATTATTATTATTATTATTATTATTATTATTATTATTATTATTATTAGTTTTTATATTGGTGTTGATGATGTAATTCTTTGGACTTACGAATACAGTCAGTGTTGATTGAGAATGAAATCTGGACATTCAAACGTCACTTTTAAAATAACCACATAACATGACGGGTTTTCTGGATTCATGATATCAATTAGGGTACGAGAAAGTCGCAAGGCACTTGTAATTATTTTAAGAACAGAAAATATATCAACGCAAATTAACTATTGTTACATTTCCCAAAGCGCTTCATTTCATGAGCCAGATATAACATTATTGAAACATTATTTATGTTTTCTAATTTTCGTCACATTTAAATATCTTTATAAGTGGCTTCCATTATTGAGATCCTGACATAATTATTTTCTTCCAGCCACACTTGGCTAGTACAAGATAGTTTTCATTTACACGAAGGTATTTCTATCGTTGATGAAATTTCAGCTGCTGTTAGCATACTGATTTACGGAAAATCTGAAGATAATAGTGAAACGTAAATTCCCAAATGGGTGAGGAACTCACGATCCTCTCCAGGGCGGACTTGCCCAAAAGACCGTGCTGTTTTATTTGCTTATTTACTTTTGAACGGCAGTCTCTATGGTTCTCTGATACATAGATCCACTGCACTCTTGGGCATATCTAGCATGTGAATGTTTTTCTTGAGGGGGGGGGGGCACGCCAAAAAAAGTGTGTATTCCCGGATTTTGAGTTTCAGCCATGCTCATTTTTAATTAATTTATCCTATTAGTTAATGCACGCGCTAGATTAGAAAAGACCAAGTTATGTCGCAGGTATTCATAAATTCAATAATCTTGGCAATAAACGTATAAAATACGAAAGAAAACAGTATTTAGTGGTGCTCTTGGTAAGACAAGAAAATACAGCTCGCGGGATTCCCGTCATCTACCCGACAGTCGGAAAAATTTTCATAACTCTCCTTTTACAACCATTTTTCTTTTTTGACTGTTGAAGGTCGACAAAAGATTTCTGTGTTCCCCAAGCTAGAGTTTTACACTCTGAATGTTTACAATCCAATATATATCGATAAAAGAACTGAATAAAATAAAGAACAAGAGAACTGATAAAAGAAGACTTTCCGTAAATCAGCATGCTAACAGCAGCTGAAATTTCATGAACGGTAGAAGAATCTTCGTGTAAATGAAAACTATGTTGTACTAACCAAATGTGTCTGGAAGAAAATAATTATGTCAGGATCTCAATTACGGAAGCCACTTAAAGATATTCAAATGTGACGAAAATTAGACAACAGACTAGTAAAAAACGAATGTAGAATAAAACAACTGTATGTAATTGAGAATATTACAGAAGGCATGTTTCTCCCCACCCCCACCAAAGACAAGAGATCATTTTTTTTATTCGTTATATTCTTTTGAAGAGCTGACCCTCTGCCCAGGTCACATTTTATTTTATTTCCAAACAGCAGCTTCTTCTCGCGCCTCGATCGGGCGCAGCTCGGGCAGCGCGAATGCCCGGCGCCAAGCACGCGGAACGCGCCGGGTATTGAAGGGCGACCTCCCGCGGGCGGGGGAAGGAGGGGGGGATAGCGGCCACCCCGGAAGTGGAAGTTGCCGCTCCGCCGGTGACGGAGGACGCGTTTTTGGTCGTTTTGCGGCGCCATTCAGCAGCCGACACTCTCGAAAAGGTTTACATTCCACGGAACATTGCAGAAATCGGGAAGGGAAGGCAAGAAGGGTACCAAGTCACTCAGAAATATGGATGGCACAAAAACGTAATTTATGAGTATTAAGATATTATGTTACTACAATACAAAACTTTAATAAACTATATTGAAAGAAACCGCTGGAAATCAGAATTATTTTTCCTGTTCACCAGAAAAATGGTTTAGTTTGTTAAAATCGGATGATGTTTTTCTCCTTAAATGAGTTTCTCTTTGTGAAGCAGTCGAAAAACTATTGAAGGGTTTGAAGCAATAATAAAATTAGCCACAGCAAGTATCCCGATGTATGTAAATATTAATATCTCGATTTTGGTCGAAGTTTGTCCGATCTTGTTACTGCCCTAAGCACTTCATCAATATCAACAAGACAGATATAGTAACAATAAAAAAAACATTTTCATAAAAACTGAGATATTTCGAAGGCATTTACGAACAGGAGGCTTGATGAGGCTGGTGTGGCCTGCCTTGTTACTTCCCCATCAATTTACAAAGGAACGTTGAAAAAGATAGTTTTTGATAAAGAGCACGACAAAAATATAACTTAATAATAACTGTTTATCGAATGAAAAGTGGTACGTGTCAGTTTTACATTTATATGTCATTTATTTCCAAAATATTATTGTAGGTTCCTTCAAAAAATAATCATGGTTTACGAAAGCACTTTCTCTACAGAAAGAAATATTTTATGTAATATTTTGTTAGTACAAGCACAATCGACAATTCAATAGTTCGAAATCTTTTTATAATCAAAGTCAATCACTTTAATAAGAAATCCTATAACTACACTGTTTGCATAATTCCAACTTAAGAGGTGATTCACGCTTCACAGTTTTAAGGCAATATTTCAACAATTATTTATTATACCTTCAGGGTTGTGATGCAGTTCTGTAACAGTTATTGACTACGTTTACTTAATGACATACAGATCCAGACTAATCGTAACGAATTTTATTCTAAGGAAAAAAATAGAGAATTAATTCTTTGAAATACTAGTATTATTCTATTACAGAAACTAATTTATTCAAACGATTTTTTTTTATTCAACGCTGTTTGCTTTATTCCGAGAATCTCAAAATTGTGTCGTACAATTAGAAGATGGAAATAAATGCAGGTACACATATAAATTTTTGGCGAAAAGAAAATGCAGATATAGATTTCACTTTTCATAGAAAGAAAAATCATAATTTTTCGGATAAATGTAACGGAAAGAGAAAAGTGTATAAGTATCGAACAAAAATAAATATTACTAGTGGCCTGCAACAGTAAAAATGCTGCTGAGCAAAGCCACGCAAACGATTTTCCCAAAAAGTAGCACATATTCTGCTCAAAAACAAAAATATAAAATACTCTCGTGTAGTACTGATTTATATTAAATATTTTAACATTTCAATAAAAAAGTATTATTCAAATCAGGTTACAAAAATAAGTATATATTTTTAAAACGTTTCGACCTCATTTATGAGGTCCTCTTCAGTTTCTGAAAAAGCTGTGTTATAAAACAATTCTTTAAACAGACAATAAACTATTATCCGTCTGATTTACAACAATAAGGTACATAAATTATAGAAACTATGCATACATCGGTAAGACAGAATTGGGTTACCTGTCGCAGTGTGAGGTTACGTTCACATGATGAAATTCCAGAAGTAAACACCAGGTTCCAAATTATACGTAACAAATATCCTAGTCCACGTATCAACACTAACAAAACTCGAATCACTTGAATTATCCATTTTGGGAGGTAATATATTTAAATCTGTGAGTTTAAACCATCTAAACGTGTCGAGCCATCCCAAGATAGTTTGTTATTGCTTTCGATACGGATCTCGATGTACACGGAATAACTTACCTGGATCGAGATGACCGTGGTTACGAGGGAAATATGAAAACAGTTGAATGATGCTACATGTTCTCTTACCGAGGGAATTATGAGAGGGAATTATGAAAGGAAATTATGGAAGGAAATTATGAAAGGGAAATATAAAAAGACAAACCGAGTCAAGTTAACAACTATTCACTTGTTTCTTTCATGTGAACACAAATAGAAATGAAAATTTTTAAAAGAATCTGAAAAATATATAGTTTCTAAGATGTCGCAATTTTATCTTGAATTATAGCAGAACTGGTAGAAGCTGCAACATTCGTACCACTTACTGTCGCAGAATCACCGGAAATAAGTCGAGCAATTTTCTGTTTCTATGCCGTGTTTTCTGCTACGTGTCCCTCAGCTATGGTATTGCTTTTCCTCTCACCAACTATCGTAATACTGACCACGCTACTTCCTGCATTGGCCAAGAGAGTCTCCGAGATTCTCCTCAAGCAATGATCTGTGTACATTTTTGGGTTTGGCCAACACCACCAAGATTGTAGTATGTATTGTAGTATGACTAGGTGGTGTTGGATTGGCAAACCAAAATCCGCAGCAATTTTAGCAGGAATGGACCCTGTCGTATTTTCACCAACGTGCTGAACAACACAATGGCCATTTTGGAACCTTGCAAGAATTGGAGAGGTGATTGGGCTCTCGAGCGAAAGTCCCTCGGGCGTTTTGTCGCCGCTCGGTCATTAGAACCTTTGAAACGCCCTTGGTGCATAAATAACTATTTTAGAGGTGGCAGGGAATTTAAGTATGTTGTATAGTAAAGGGAACCATGGAATAAGTATGTATATAAAAGTACCAGAGAGGGGGTACGAGAAACAGTAAATTAAATACCAATTAGTTGAGTTGGTAAGAACGTGTCGCAAAACAGCTGTGTCGTAAGAGGTGATGCACTGTGTATGAAAATTGCGTCAGTATGCCCAATACGATAATAGGGAAATAACAGAATCAAATATTCGCATCTTTCAGTCAAAATCGGAAATGTTTAATTGTTTTTGGATTTCCCCCAAGTTCCGCGGTATCTAATGAAATCAAAGACACCTCTCACACACACAGTGCCAGAGCTAGCCAAGTTTGGGCTCGGAGCAATGCTGCCCCCAACCCCCGAAAAATTAAAATGTGAAAGTCCACGTTATAAGTAATGACTAAAATTAACGATTGAAGGTTAAAAAATGAATTGAAAATGTTATGAAATATCAGGCTACTGTTTAGAGACTTATAAAATTACGATAACAATTTCTCGAGTTCTAATTTCTTTTTCAATTTTTACTAACTTTTTGCCCCGGGTGATCGCCTGGTCTGCCCATGCCTAGCGCAGGCACTGCGCACACCGTCTGAGGCTGCATTGTTTTCTTTCACTCTCTGTGCGCATTGGCAATGAATAATGAACATTTTAATTTTTCAAACAAATCATCTTGTTTTTCACCACTGAACATGACACATTAGAGTAACGTCGAAGGTTCGCAGGTTGAGGATGAAAATACATAACGTAGATAAACGCTGAATGCTTGATCTGAGGAGGTGATACATAATGCAATCGTACCGACAGTGCGTACGCACCGTTGTAAACAAAAGCTCTTTGTCTAATGGTAACTGCGATGTTTATCTTACGAGATATTCTGTATAAAACTTACAAAAAGGAGGAAGGGAAATGAAACCACGTTTACGTATCTTAAGAATCTTGAAGCTGACTCAGTTAGGGAAATAAGAAACTGAATTGTTTGCCTTTGACGAGTGGCCTAAGGCACAGATCATGACACCATTTCGTAACTGTCTGTCGAAGCACGTGCTTGTACCAACGTATTTCACAAACGGTGCAATTATCTTTATTCAAGGATCATAAGAATGAGGCTGAGATCGAAGCCACAATCCACAATGCACCCGTTCTCAGGTCTCCTTGAGTTACTGCTCTAAAGATGGTTCCCGTGATAAGGTGCGACGTTGCTGGTTGGTAGAAACGAAACCTTCAAGTATACCTTCGTCCGTTTTATGTGTTGTAGAACAGTATCCACACTCGCATCCAAGGCGATGACTGAGGCTGAGCTCATCCTGAAATGAAAAAATCTCGCCTAGGGTGCGATCAGTTTCTTGTTATGCAATTTGATAATAATTGTTATTGCAAATAGTGTGAGAATTTTAATTTTACAGTCTAAAAAATAATATAACTCACTCATATGAAGTAATTTCCCTTATCATAATGAGGAAAAAGTCTCTGAATTCTGTAAACCCTTTTGTGAAATGCAAAACGGTCTCTGATAATTTAGACTTTAATGTCCTTTTGTCGAATTTTCATTCATTGAGACCCTTTTGAAGAAAATTTCTGGATATCTTGTTCAGAAAACTTATTATACTTCAATTCTGCATCCATGTGAATTAAGGGGAGAGCTGGGTATCTACATTTTGGAGAAAATTATCTTTCTGCAAGATTATAGAGCAAAGGTCGTACTCAAAGTACGAATCTTCAAAAACGAGATCAATCGAGGAAATATACGAATGTGTTCCTCCACATTTTCCTCTTGAAACTAGTGCCCCAATATCACGTACACTGTCAGAAAATTCTTGAGTTCAGCCAGATCGATCCGGGAATATCAATTTTGAGGAAATCTCCCGAACGGTTTAAGCGCTAGTGTTGACTACAAAGACAATCGTTCTGCTGTAAATGAAATTTTCAGTATCATAGATTTTACAACACGTGGATTCAGTCTGCACGTTTTAGAGGAAGTAATTTTTGAAATGCAAGAACAAGAATAATCCACTTATTCGGTATTAGAGCCCCACAATATGAGTTTTTCAAGATAAAATATCACCACCAGTTTCTGGAACAGCTTTACAATACTTACTCTATATTACGTAAGTAGTATGCGAGATATAACTAGTGGTGCATAAGAACGATAGAGACTTTTTCGACCTAGTTTGTTTCCTATTCTCTTCAACGACTAAAAGACTACCAAGGGTCTCTCGAGGTAACTACCACTTCTCTTTGAGGCGGTGAAGAGCGCCTTCGCACATTCTGGGTGACCTATCTCGGCCCTGTTCCTTTACGTATTTGTCCATGGATTCCAAACATTATCCTTCTGGTACAAGGTCTGGAATGTCCCCATGTTTCGAATACTCTTATAACTGAAATTTATGATTTCGGGTGTTTCAAACCACAGCCTTAGAGTTCATGTACTTTGGCTCATTTATCCCGAACCACTGTCTCACAAGGCCGAGTCACTTTACAGTTTCACAGTTTTCAAATACAATAATTTGCTAAAACCAATATGTACCTAGCACTGATTTTTGTCTGCATACGCTGCCTTGTGTTACTGAATCTATGTATCTATAGCATTCTGAAACCTTTCCATATCAACAGTGTAAACAATGTTATTTTAACATTAAAATGTAGCAATAACGTACCGAATAATTAAAAAATCTCAAAATGTTGTAACTCCCAGGAAAATGTTATGAAATATATTTGCAGCACATATCAGTTAATGCAATGGTTTACTTTTATATTGAAGAAATTGTATTTTATCAAAAAACATTTTTCAACCCTGTAATAGTAAGAATGATTGGACTTAAAAATACTACAGAAGAGTTATACCTGGTTCTGTTGAGTTCATTGAAAAATTTCGGGTCCGTTTGAGAAAGTGTCATTTGAACGTACATGAAAATTCACAATGTTCATCTCATTTTCACAGAAAAATTTGAGTTTTCTCGAACTTCGTTGAAAATTATTTGAAGCACATAATTTACAAATGCTTTACAATTTATATATGAAGCAAGAAAAAGTTGAAAGAAAAGGTTTTGAGCAGTTTTAGAGAAAAACTTTTTTTTTTAATACGCCCTTGTTTCACTCAAAATTGTGCAAAACTATTAATAAATGTTAATTATTCTTTGGAAATTTTCCAATAAATTCTTTTGTCAAAACTTATAAAATTATTGGGAAAAAAATCTTATTTCCCATTATCACTTTTAAAGAAGATTCTGGATTAAAGTTATTTTCTGAATGAAATTCTATGTGAACATTACTGCCACAAGTTTGGCGATAAAAAATTGATATTAATTTGACAATTACTTGTTGCCTAACATTTGAAACCACTATAATATTAATCATGATTGCAATTAAAGAAGAATCTCGATAACCAAAACTTCAAGTAAAAAAAGGCATTTATAAAGAAAAAAAAGCTGACCTCTGATAACATAACTGAGATTTTCACCTTTGTTTATTGCAATAAATTCATGAGCATTTTTGTTAAACCATTTCTTAAAATTATTGACCTGTGTATTATGAACTTTTCCTATTGTATTCTTAAGGATAAACAATCGTTAATTGTGAAAGTCTTAAAAACTATAAAGAACTATTCTAAACTATAAGAGAAGTATTAAGCCCAAACAGAATTTTGTATTAGGAGAACCTTCACCAATTCTCAGATATGAGATCTACTCTATTACAGCTCAGCATTCTATTTGGTGGGTCTCCACAGTGTTAATAAAATAATTCAGCAAAGGTCCCTATAAAATATAAAAAGTGTTCAGTCTTTTTTAATAATAACTAATTTAATAACTATCATTTAAGATCTTAGAAGTGGAAATTTTCAAATTTGTTTTCAATTGTAAATGCTAGTGGTGCATCCATGGAGGGGAGGCTTTCAACCATCCCCCGAAGTCAATGGCTATAATTCGCAATAATATAATACGCAGTAATGGCAAGGATATATATTAAAACGTTTTATTATGATTCATGAAGCCAAAATCATTTTCACAAATATAGTTTTGGCTTATTTTCTTTCCTAATGAAAGTAATCCATTGTCTCAAATGAATACATTACAAATATATACAACTTTCTGTGTAAACAAAACATTCTTTATGAGAAAACACTAAGTCTGCTGGGCAATACATCAACAGCCCAGCCTCTAAATTGGGAATATTGTTCAAACAGTTCATTACATGATATGGCAATTATCAAGACATAATTTCCAAAGAATAAGCAATTTATTTAATCTGTATGAAAGTTGACCGCATAGGCTTGCACAGCCTAAAACAAGGGTGAGAACTACCTGTGTGGATCCCTTTTTTGAACATTTTTCTTATATACAACACATTTTACTTCTAAACGAAGAAAATATTCTACTAGGAAAATTAAATTGTAGCTTTAATGATATAGGGCTACCACATTAGTGGAGAAATTCTCCCCCAAATGCATAAAAATTCCCCAAATTGACATAAGAAAAAATAAGAAGAGAAAATTAGGACCTAAACTTACTACCAGCAATAAAATGTTATATTACAGAATGCTAATTTGGGCCCCTTCCCAAATTTCCAGAGGACCATGTCTTGCCTGCTTCCCTCACCTAATGCGCACAGGTGATTGCTACATATAATTTTTTTTTGGTAATATATTTAAGAGTAATGAAGATACGTTTTGTGCATTAAAAAGTTATCATTAATTATGTGCATTTATTGTAATACCACTCTTCCCATTTCTTCAATCCATTATATGTATTAATTAATAAGACAGACCCAAAAAATTGACTACAATGATTACTTTGCAAGATCCTCTTGAGCAAAGGATTACAGTAGTTGAAATTTAAAACATTTATATTTACACAACTTTGCAAGTTAAACATATCTTCATAAAAAGACCATCTTTCTTATAAAGGACATATTCTAATAAATGAATTTTGTTGTTATTCTATCAGAGGAATATTTCTTTGGAAGAGTGAGATGGAAGGATGTTTTAAAAAAAGAATGCATTTTGATAGGAAATAGGTGTTTTATTTCTTGACTTTAATTTATTCCAGTACTCTACAGATAGAAATATACATTCAAAGGACAATGTGAGGCAAGTCCCTAATGGCTACAAACATTAAGCAATAAACAGGGATTTCCAAAACTAATATACTTGGTTGCATGCTAGGAACAAGCAACAGTATATAGGGCCAAATTTATGGAAAGTGATGACTAACTTAGTAAATACAATACCATATAGTAATGTATGGGTTTTGAAGTAATACTCCTTTCTTTCAAAAAATGGATGGGCAATTAAGCAACACATAATTTTGAAAACTGTGTTATAAAAGCACATTTTTAGTCAATTGTTTTGTAATTTTCAATTAAACTAGAGATGAACTTGCCAAATATCAAATCTATTGAACAACTTACTGGTACTATACATAACTAATTGATTATCACTTTCCATAAAGCCACAAGTTGAACCAAACATATCTGTATATTTTGTACAACATTATTTCCTGTCTCTGCCTCAAACATATTTTTGTAACACTTTTAGGTCATAACTAACTTTTTCTCAATCTTTTGGTGATTTGACTGAGATATCTTGCCACTGTCCTCATTTCACATAAGTGATAATTTTATGAGTAAAGGAATTGTTTATGGAATTATGAACAATCTTATATTACATATGACATAAAGTCATTGTTATGTATTAGAATAAGTCAGGTCTAATTTCTGTTTCACTCAATTGCCTAGAGCCAACAATAAATATTATATGTCCAATTTCCTATGCAAAAAAACATGTGCACTCACATGTACTGTATGGTATATCTTGAATATGGCATGGTTGCAACTGACTAGACTAAAAGCCACAATGCATTGCTTATTGTGAAACAAAGAAGAAAACATTCAAAATACAAAAAATGTCATTAACAAATGTAAACCTGGTTCAAACTTTTATTTAAACAAGAAAAAAATTAACTGATTAATATTTAGTACAGAATTATAATCATTATTTTCAGTAGAGTTTGATAAACTAGTATAGGAAATTGGTCATAACGACACTAACATTATCTGATGCTGATTGTAACACGGCTCATTCTATGATGAGATTTTATGGAGAGATTGTTTGGTATCACTTGTTACAGTGAGAAACAGTATATTGTTGACAGTTCATGAATGCATACAACATATTCTGCAATGGAATGCTGCAATTAGAATGAAACACTTTCAAATCTATGTATCTACTAGTTACAAATGAAATGATGCGATGAACTTACATGTACAGAATGTCAATGAAAACGTGATCATATGTACAAACCAAATGCATTGTTTCGAAACCGTATTTATTCACAAACAAAAAAGACATGTTTAATGTAATTTGAGATTCTACATTCTATACAATACTCAAGTACTGATGAACTTTTTCAGAAACATGAGCAATAACACATCAAAAAGGACTTTTCATTCCTATTTATTAACTGTGTATTTTAAGTGCTTTTTTTATACACACTTAAAAAAGCAATGTGAATTCACATTTCTTTCAGTAAAATTATCTTCTCATGACATGCAAGATCTGAAGTACATCAGTACAACTTGAAAATTTCATTGATTGAAATGAAAAAAATACAATGAATAAATACGGTCATTTTCATGCTTCTAAAATGCAAAATATTGTTGAATAGTTTGTTGCACCACTCATTTGCAAGTGGATTTTATATTTGTGTCTTCATAAAATTATATTTACATTAAAATTAAAATTATTCTCAAATGAGACATATCAATAATACAGACAGCTGATTAAAAGCATTACAGAGATAATATTTCAGTGTGCACTGAAAATTCAAAGATACATTGACTAGAATACTGGTATGTGAGTTTTGCCGTACCATCACTACGCTACTGTATGGTGTCTGGTAGGCGCTAAGTACTAAACATTTGCACACTTGTTCTTGTAGGCAAGGAAATAAGCAGCTTCTCTTCCTTTTTAAAAACAAAGTGTACATGGCAAGTGCTGCTATAGTGCCCAGCCTGTTAAACTCAAGACATATTCTTGATTAAAACAGAAAAATCAACTTAAATACATAGTATGATCTACAATGCAGTCTTTTGCTTGGCTAAATAAAATAGCAAGCATTGTTGGGAAGATTTTTTGGACACATGACTGAACACTCATTTTTATCTATTTGGCCTCATAAGCTGATCTTTACGTCCTCTAGCAACATTTACTGAAATTGGAACATACATAGACAACTTTCTACAAGACTCAAACTCAAATCTACAGTTAAAAAAACAGATGACACTGATATCTGGACTGTTTAGGTTATACCAGATCAGATTTTCATGTTTAGAATTAGATATAGAGTTCTTGAACATACTTTCAGTATCTTTTTTCTGATAAATGTAATAAATATTAAGTACTGCACATTCATGTACAAAACACCCAACTTTCATTCAGCTTTTTCTGAAGGAGTGAACTGTGTGTACCTCTTTATGTGCAAATAAAGGCATTGTTAAAAATATATCAAAACCAAGAGAATACTATGAACCCAAATCTATGTGTGTACTTGTATAGGCTTAAAGTACCTGACTGAAAAAATTCATATTAGTATAGGTATTGTATTAAAACTGTGTGGTGAGGAACACATGATGAAATTACCCCTTGCTTTCATGAATAATGCAAGGATTTTTGTTTTCTATATAAAAAGCTATTGCTCACATCTATCTTATGAAGATGTAAGAGACTTTAGTTCCTTCAATGAACTATAGCATTTCTTATAGAAATACAATGAACGGGATGATTGTGTCATTATGATTACATTTCAAATCTGCGATCATAACAAAAATACAATGCAACCACATTCAAAACACACGCACACACAGCATACGTTGACTCACAGAGACGAAGGCACCGAACATTTAATATAATACTTATGTTGATGGTCTTCTGCCATAGTAAAGACAACAGCTGACCACAAGGTGAAGGGCAAACTACCACTCTAAGTGTCAGAGTGTCTATTTCAAAGACGAGTAATACCTGCAACTTGAAATAACACCAACGCAGGTAGGAAATATCGAACCACGAGGGATGATGATGATGAAGAAGGGGAACGTTGTCATCAGTTTCGGTAGCCTCCAGAAAATATCAGGTTCTTCACTTATACACAGAAAATAAAATTTGAGAATCCATTCACTTCTCTAAATTTCTGCTTGACAAGCATCCATATTGCATTTCAATGAAATAATTCACCTTCTCACATGATCACTCACTACCTCTCTACGCCACAAGGTGTCCAGATCATGCAGTTTAAAAATTCATTCCAGGAGTTTAGTGTCTGCATAGCGACCACAGCTTTGCTCGTCGATCAGGTGTATCTCACTGAGAAGGTCGCTTGCAGCAGAACCTTCAGGAGTTCAGTTCAGACCTACATATAAGTAAATGATGATCAGTATTTGATATTTCACACAACTTTTAGCACAATAATCTTCGAGGAATAAACTTACTTGAGAGATTTATATCGTTCCTTCTCATGGTTGTTTTCTGGAGGCTCACACTCAAATGAAGCCAGTGCCAATGCTGGAAACAAGACAAAAAATAATTAATAATTTATTTTTGTGGACAATGCCTATTTAAACTTGAATATCATTCTATAAATAGCTTCCCTGAATAATCACATATATAATTGATTTTATTTATTTTTCATCAAAAAACAGTTAAATCTGAATGTGATGTATGTAGAGAGAAGTGTAATGAAAATACTGTACTATCTAATAATACCTCAAAAACACAATTTTCCTCTACATACGTACTTATTCACTGTCATACCAATGTACATTTACAAAAACAAATGAATGGGTACTACTGTAATATCTTAGAAGAGAAAAGTATTTGGGATAAAAATAATTATTGATGGAATAATATAACTTACCATTCTCTGTGAGCACAGGACTGGCTTGGAGGAAGGTTATGACCTTTGTATTCTTTTCAAATGGACATGTCACTTGTTTCCATGTGATAAATTCTGTCACCTGCTTGGCAAGCTGCCAAAATTTTTCAAAGTTGATGTGACCATTGGGAAGTCTGCAACAGTTGAAAAAATTAATTAATTTGGTACTTTATTTATCTAGAAAAATTAATTATAAGTGTGTGATGGTTCCATCATACATGACTGACTAACCATTTTAAGAGTACATTTCTTGATTAATATCTGACATGGTGATTTATCCAACAAGACAGTTGTAACTATTTATAGAGGAAGTCATTAAATTGATATGAAAATAGAAAGATAAAGTGGTATTTACTAATGGTTGTTTTATAATTACGACACAGATTGTTCTGAGCTATTTGAATTATTTCTTATCTGCCCCTCTTCATTACAATCTCCAACTCCATTACACAGATAAAGTTTTCACCGACTTGTAAGCGTAGCATTTGAAGTTCAAGAATTCCTCCAGATATTTATTCTGAATGCTTTTCATCTGTTGCTCTGGGAGTGAATTAATGAATCCTCTAATCTGAGTGAAACCGACGTAATGAAGTGTGTGGTTCTTTCGGCAGCATTCTACCAGCAGAAAACTTTTATCATTAAAAACTTTTACATCCCGTTCAAGAGAAATCACTAAGTTTATGGGAGAGTAACAAAAAGCAAACTCGTCTACAAGCCATGCAAACAGTTGTCCAGCCAACTAAGTGTTCTTCACAGAATAAATGTAATGACACAGCTACTTAAGACTCCATTATTTCATTTAAAGAGTGAAAATTACACAATTAATTTTTTCTGAAGCATTGCAATTACTTAAAATCATTTTAATTACTATCTATATGGATTTTCAATTCAAATGCTAATCGAAAGTTAATTTATTTGATAGGCTACAATGCATTCTAGAATTCCAAACATTAGAACGAAAATACTTGGGATTTTACTCGAGAAAACAATACATAAAAATGTGTAAAAACCTACTAATTGTTACCAAATAGAGGTTGATGTTTTCTTATCGGTTCTATCTTCTTAGACGATTTCACCTCAACGATTGATTAAAAAAAAAAGAAAAAAGTAAAGCATTTACTGAGCGTATTACATTTTCCTAGCAACGCTCAGAGGCAAAAATAAGAAAAAAATAATTTAGATTTCAATCTTCATTATTCTTTCTGATCAGGCTTTCTTCGCAGAGGCAGCAAGTCCGTGAACTATTTCTCCTTTCATTTCCATATTGTTCCCGCGCAACGGCGCGGACTTTCCACAAGCGCGGAGGGCGCGCGCTGTGCTCGCAGGCCTCCGAACCATTTCTCACGCGCATCACAGCAGATGAAGCAAGAACAAAAGCAAAACCCGAGAAAGCGCGAGGGAAAGCCGGACATTAATTAGGCAATTTACGGCGGGTCAAAATTAAAATTTTCATTATGCTCTTTCTTTGTGGCGGCGGCGCCGGGCGGGCTTAACGTGCGGGATGAAGGGCGCGGGCGACTGAAGGAGCTGCGGTCGCCGCGCGCACTTCGCCTGTTTGATCTCCCTTTTCGCCTCCTGCACTTTCTTTCTCTGCGCCTAACGCAAAGCAAGGAGTTCAAACAATTTGGCTGGCATTAAATCACTGTATCCATTGTGTTGTGATTCAAGAGGAAGATGCATTTGTATGACGGACATCTTGATACTGTCGATCTCCTTACAATGTCTCGTTAACAGTAGCATTAAATATTGACAACCTCCCCCAATCACTTCTCTAACTGATTTTTAGGAACATACGTGTCGATTTTTGATTGCCCGTTAGAGAAATACAGAGAGATACATTGCAGTAAACCGAAGAATGATTTTATGAAAGAGAAACGGTCATGGCGACGAGTAGTAATACAGTTTTGTTTTCATTAATTGTCATACTATCTCATTCTTTCTAAGTTGTCAGACATAACCTTCCGTAATTCATGAAAATATGTTTTTGAAAGGTTCCATAAACGTAGCTATTTCGCATTTTCCCTTTACAATATGAAAAGACAATCTACACTTGAAAGACAACAAGGATAGTGTCTACATATATTAAAGTGTTATAACGTCAGTCACATTTATTAATAAATAAAATTAAACAACACCATTTACTTTGTTAAATGTGTATAAAATTGTATCTCTTTATAACCTATCAACCTATTACTTGAATTCAATGATTATCAGTCAGGTAAAGTGAATACTGCGTCCGAGGGCAGAGGGGAAATTTCCTTGTTCAATAGGACGTAAGAAAATACCGGCATCGGCGCGCGCACTCACTTGTTGGAGCAGCCCTCGTTGAGGAAGTAGATGTCCTTGACGAGCAGCGAGAAGAACGGGATGACGATGCGCTGGCGCTCGTCCGTGGCGCCGGCCGACCGCCACATGGCCGCCTTGAGCGTGGAGCGGTAGCTGCTGAAGTTGGACGACGGGTCCATCTGATGCTCCAGGATGGAGAACTTGGCCTGCTGCACCTTGCTCCACTGCAACACCACAGACGCGAGCTCGTTAGACGTGCTACTTAACGACATGAATACTACAGAGCAGCAGGTTCAATTTCATGGCAATCATAATACTACAAAAGTCATTGCTTTCGCACCCGTGCTACAAACGTGCCATAACCTAACTATTTCGGATTTCCAAGAATCGTGACTCTCTTGTTGCAATCTCGTATAAACTCCGAACAGTATCTGTTACCAACTGACATGTGACGGCCAAATTGTACAGTTAAGGGTACACACTTTTGATTATTGGTAAAGAATAATTTTTCCAACTCAATCAGAATGACAACTCTATAACGGAGTTTTTGCGTTTTCCTTCTTGAAACTAGGGATATTTGCGAAAATCGTTGCCGGTTCAGACGGCGATGGCATTAATAACGTCTGAAGTGATGCGTAGCGATGAACTGCGCGAGTTATTGATGTGTAGAAAAAAGAAAACGATAATAGAATAAAGACTCTCTAACGGCAATACAACATTAAAACGATCAAAACGAATACAAATGTCAAAACACTCACATTATCAAAAATATTACATAAAAGCATATTTGATACAAATAACCAATATGTCCAGTTTCGATACTGTGGCAACTCTTTAGAGACTTCAACCGACTACGTTTTAAACGTATATTGTTTTATATTGCTTACCATTGAAGTTTAACATTCTGGTCTCTTGTATTCTCGCATAGCTACTTCAAACATTGGATGCTATAAGCGAAATTTGATGTTCTTTTTCTTTCTGATTGAATATGAAAACTATTTACGAAAACTGAACAAAAAAGAAACGAAGGTTTAATTTTTTTATATCTGTCAATTGTATTGCTATAGTGTAAGAATAAAGTAGACTTACTACTAAAATATTAAATATAGAATTCACGTTTTACACGCGGAAGATAACTCGTGTCAGATCTCGTAAAGTAGTAAAAAATATCATGAGAGAAGAGCATTCCACTTTTCAGCATCTCAATAATAATCATTGCAATAAGATCAATAAAATATAATTTTTGATACTATTTAAATTATACAATTAGGAAGAAAGAATCAAACATTACAATTAGACACCAATAAGTCATTAAAAGATAATTTCGGCAAAATGAAAGGGAAAAGAGTAAAATGTCCAATTAGAATGATCAAATACGTATTTGAATCGCTGGTCACCGCTGTTTGAATTCATTTAGAATTGGTAAGTAATTTTATTAAACATAGATAATAATTATTATATTACTCTAATTATTATTTAATTCCAAATGTAAATTGAGTTTGCATGCACAAATATAACTGACGTACGATTGGTATCTAACAACCGTAAAATGAATTTGATATCAAACGACTAAATATATAACTTTCCAACCAAATACACGCATCAGTGCATCCCCACACGCACGCAACACACATACAATCACTTTTTGAACTCTGGATGAACATTTAATGAATTTAATTCGAAAACTGACTTGTGGTAAAAAAAAAAGCTTGGCTACCTTAAAAACAATTTTTATAAACAACAAATTGAAACCTGATTTCAAAACGAACACTTTTTTTTCGTTTCATTGAGTTGAGATGAAGAGCTGATAGTTTCTTAGATTGGCTGATTATAGTGATAACGCCGCGTCAACGCCTAAGGTCGTTAGTGCCGTAAGAGCAGAGCATGCTTTTATCGCGGGAGGTGGTGGTGATTTCCCCCGATGGATGGTGAGATCCGGCTCCGACCTACACAACGGTTGAATTGAATTGTATGAATGTCTTATTTTAGGTGGCGAGACTCGGGCCATCAGGCCCGCTCTTCCGTCTGACCACGCAAATTTCGCTACGCTCCTTTCACCAACTAGCAGAGAAAGAAGGTATTTCTTGGGCGAGAAACAGGCGATTTGAATTTAGCCCAGAGGCGACATTTAGGCTTGAGGATCTTTTACATGCAAGTAAATCTACTAACATGGGACAGCCGGCTTTACTTCCCCTCCGAAGGAAGGCGTACGAAGAATCGATCGGGTTTGAACCCGCGAACTTGGGTACAACAGTCCGGTACGCTAACAGTACACCATCGTCGCCGCCAAGAGGGGTTTTCCCCAACCTGGTATCTTCCACCAGCAGGACGCCGCCCTAGCCGGGACAAACTCAAAGTTCCCAACATGTGTCGTGTGCAGTGCATGTAAGTGTAAGTAAGAGTAAATAAGGGGTGAGGATAGCACAAGGAAAAAGAACGAAAGATCGTGCGCGATCCGTGGCCCGTTTGTTAGGGTTTAGTACCGGCACTCGTGTGGTATTTATCGGAGAAATCACGGAAAACTACCGATCAGAGCAGCCGGACGCTAGAATTCTTCTTCCGATAGCTAGCGTCTTCTGCCACTGCTGGGTCGCGAACCCAAGGACCTTTCGGTCATATGTACTGCAGTAACATAACTTCATGCCCTGAGCCACGTCTGCCGGTGATAGCTTCTTACAGGCGTATGCGCATAAACCGCAGCATTCAGGCAAAGCAAGAAAAAAACGCAAAGCGCGGACAGCGTATTCAATTCCCACCGTGGCGGTTTTACACCGTAATTATAACGTGCTTCGCACTGCCTGCAGCGCGTGCAAGCCAGGCCAGAGGCAGCACGGCGGTCGCGTCCGTCATTCGTCACGGAGTCGCATTAGCGCTGTGGGCGACGCAGGTGGCGGCGGATCGCCTTCTTGACGCGCGCAAGACGGAGCGAGAGCGCCTTCGCCGACGGGGGGCGTCGTTGGGGCGCCGGGGGCGGCCGGGGGGGGCGGGCGGCCGGGCGGCGTTCTGCGGCTGCGGGGCGCGCTCCATCACGCTAATGGCGTTTAAGAGATTACCAATGGGACTCAGCGCCGCCACCTGGTCCGCGACGCGCCGCATTAACTCCGCGGCTATGGCAGCTGGACGCGCGGCGGGTGCCTTCCTGACGTCTCCGCTACTTCCACCGCCCGCAATCAGCGCGCTCGTCACCGCGGAACCGTGCCTCCCCTCACAGGCATCCACCGCCCTCCGCGCTACTTCGTGTTTTGTTACAGTTTCTCCTCCTTTCCCCGCGTCTGAGCGGCGCATCCGTTTGTCTGCCCTTTCCTACATTCCTGCACGTTATGAGAAGGCGACTTTTGCCGCTAGAAGCTGCGCGCGAGGTCTTCTGTCGCTCAGGCAGTGCCGGCGCTAGGCACAAGCACACCGGGCGATCGCCCGTGGCCCTGCAAGTCAAGGAGCCCGATAAAAGCACTGACGGGGAAAAATATTTAAAAAATCAAAAATAAATTAGCACTTCAGAAAATCGTTATCGTAATTTTATAAGTCGCAGTACAATAGTCTGATATTTGATAAAATTTTCAATTTATTTTTAACTTAAATGTGTTTGTAGTAATTACATACAAGGAAGGACTCTATGAAATATATCAAATGTCGCTAACATTAAAATAGGTTCTACTGAAATTCAAATTTATTATTTCATTTTTAACAAGTAATTTTATTAAACCCTTATTAACCGCCACAACTTTTTTAGCGCTTGAAGATCACCATGGAAATTGTATTATTTAGTAACTAAATACTTTTAATTAAAACTATTGTTTAAAATATATTTCCAAAAGCTTTTCTGGTTTAAACGTAATTTTGTATAATTTGTTCATGTAAAATAACTCATCTAGTTTAATGATACTACTTTCACATTTTAGTTTATTTCGGGGGAGCAACGTTTGAGCACCGTCCAGGGCCCAAAACTGCCCACCCCCGGCAACGCGCGCAGCTTCCTCCCCCCCCCCCTCCGCTGCTTTCTCCGAGTGGCCGCCTCCGCCGAGACGCCGCGCCGCGCCGCGTGATGGATCGGAGCGCCGCGCCGCCCACGGCCCGCGCCGCGCCACTTAATGGGCAGTAATTACCCCGCACCAGGCGCCGAGCCGCACCGCCTGCTCCCCGACATCTGCCCCTCCCCTCCCCTACCCCGCCGCCTCCGCTGCGACGCGGCCCTCAAAAAGCCGATGATGAAGTTTCGGCCGCGGCTGTGCGCTCGTCGGGATGTTTAAACGCGCCACGCTCGCTAACGTTTCGTTGCTAACGAACGAAAGAGAGCGCCAGCGCTCGCCTGCTTCTCGCCTAGGGGCGGGGGGCGGGGCTTTACGAGGGAAACGGCGGTGGAAAATTTTCGCGAGGCGATATCGGGAGATCGTATCCTTTTAAACGGTCTCGTAAACGCCTTTAAAACGCGGGCTCCGCCCGGGGACGGAGGGCCTCTCGATGCGCGGTCGCCCGGACGCCAAGGAGCGGCCCGGACTCCTCGGGCGGGGGCCATCTAATAAAATAAGTGCGTCGCGGACTACAACGTCAAAGAGGACGACGGTGGAGAGACGTTGCCCGTAAGAAATACGAGAGCGCTGTTTGAGGGGCAGGGCGGCGCCGAAGGGACTATCCATCGCAGTCCAAACCTCTCACTCATCTTCCATCCTCCTTCATTTCAGTTCTTCCTTCATACTATTCGCTTTTTCTTTTAAGCCCATGTTTTTTCTCATGCACTTTTTTAAGTTCTTGAAAACATCACGTACTTTTTTAACTAAACGTTCTGTTTCTCTTCCGTCCTTCTTTTATCCTCCCTCTCGTTTCACTTTGCCATCAAGCTATATTGTTTTTTCTTCTTGTCTGTCCATTTGCTTGTTAGTTATGATTGCCCATCGCTCTAAATGGCATTTGATATTTACCTCAATTCTTGCACTCCCATTTCCTGTCTATCTCACTTCTCGGCGCTTGTTCCTCCCCTGTTGTCTCGCGCCCTGCCCGGCATTGTCTCGATGGCTCAAAAGCTTTCGCGTGGCCCCGCGGCGCCGCCGTCGACGATTCGCTCCGGACAGAAATGTAATATGAAGGACCGAGAGTGCCCATATCCCATAAAACTTGGGAACCAATAGCGAGCGAGGCTCGCCGCGCGACGCGACGCGACGGGACGCGACCCGCCGCCGCCCGAGGCGGCCAGGAATTAGGGCGGGCCATCAAAGGGGTGGGCGAGCGGTCGGCGTGGCGGGGCGGGGCGTGGAGTGGCGCGGTAGGGCGTGCGGAGGGGGCGAGGCGCGTCCTCGGAGACCTGGAGGCCGCGAGGATCCAGGACGACTGAAATGTTTACCAACGCTCGTCCCCTTTGAGGGCGCCGCCGTCGAAAGTGAAGAAATTCGATTTCTGCCCTTTTATCTCGGAAGTAACTCCAATCTTTATCGGTGGGCGAGCGGTCGCGCCGCCTCGGGCCCATTGTCGAAAAGTGCACGGGCGGGCGGGCGGCTCCGGGCGCTAGAAGTCGTCGAGCTGCCGCGGGAACGAGGGCGGCATAAAGGAAAAGTATAAAATCGTCGGAAAGCAGGAAATATAGAATGGGAAATCGTGGGGGTGTAGGAGAGCGCGGGGTTCGAAGCTCAAAGCGCGAGTGGAGGGAGTGACAGAAAAGAGAGGAAGAAGAAAAAAGAAGGTCGTAAGCAGAAGGAGTGCGGAGAGTCACAAATCAGGGAAAGCGCAATTTGTTTTCGAGGAAAAGGCGCTGTGCAGTGCTCGCGTCCTCTGCTAGCGCCGTCGGGCTGGGCTGGGCAGGGCTGGGAAGGGTGCCGCCTACAGGCGGAAGGCGTTTTGTTTCGCGGGGCCGACGAACTGCGACGCGGCAATTGGAGCAGGTTCAGGCTGTTTTCGCACCTTCCGTCCCGTGCCCTCCGCCGCTTGTTTTGCATGTCTCGAAAAGGCGAAGGCGCTCCACCGCGACGTTCCACAAACGAGGGTGCATAGGAACGTTCCTTGTGACAAAGTGAACATTTTACCCGATGATTAAAGGCCAAGTATTTTCGTTTTTCAGTAGAATTTGCATCGGAGGTTGGTCATTCAAAACATATCAATTTTTGTTTTCGACATTTAGTCATTTAAAACAAATAATCAATCCACGCTTTTTGAGTTTATACTTTACGTTCTGTTCGATTATTTTGGTTTCTTCTTTTAGAATGAAAGTACAAACAACACGGCAAACATTGAAGAAACCCTCAATTCATTGAAATATTTTAAGTTTTATTATCAATACATAATATCCGGATGTTCTTTTATCTCGTGGTTCTACCCATGCCATATTTTCCGAATCCGTAGATTAAACGATCAAATGTGGATTGGTGGGATATTTTTAATGCAAATGTGTCGATTACTGTCAGTCTTTAATCATTTATGTAGTTTGCCTTTCTGGATTAAAAGTTTCAAATTTAATTTTTCAGATGTCAAAGTGCTAGCTCCTTTCTATATTTTTTCTAAAATAGTTTAGTATATCAACTATCTCATCAACTGAAATAAATTTCAGTAATGCCGTTTCATTTAATAATATATTAGATTAGTAATTACAGGTACGAGTACTTCAGTAGGTGAAACAGAATAAGAAAAAAATACCAGGTCACCGAGCTTGTAAAAATACGCAATACGCACGTGAAAAAAGTATCCGACTCACAAAGGACAGCGGTGCAGAGCACCCGAGCACCCACAAAGGGCAACGTATCAGAACATAAAGATGAGAAAGCATCGCCCATCTGTTCTGCTGGGAGAGGGTTGCGTCGCGTGGACGTAATTTTACCGTTTTCCAATCCGGCGCGTTTCGTCGTTTGTTACGTCCGCGGCGGGGGCGGGGAGGGGAGTGGTGGGGAGAGGAAGGGGGGGGTGTCCGGCTGTCGAGAGCGCAGGTGAAACGCTCGCAGATTCGAGCGCGACGTCCCTTTTATTAATTGGCGGGCGCCGCTCGCAGTGCGCTACACGACTCTACGCGCTGCTCGCCGCCCAAGTGGCTGACGGGAGACGCCGAAGGCTTACTGGCAGTGTAGGCCAGCATGGAACGATAACCAATGGATACAGGGTGACTCAAAATAAATGCTCTAGGGCAGATAAGGAGTCGCACATGATTACACCAAGAGAGTGAAATAACGCTAAATGAGTAGAGTGTTAATAAATGGCAAATAACACGCGGCTGCATACAATTTTGTAGGCCAGATTATGTTTTTTTATACTAATGACGGAATATAACACGCGGTAGAAAAATGGGAAAGATTAGGAGAAACTGAACAGGAATGATTCGTGCGGGATGGTTGGTGGGAAAGGGAAATGGTGAATGTCAGAGAAAGAATTCTAAGTCGAAAAGATAGCTAAAATATTAAAGGTGCTTGGCGGATTACAAGTCCAAGAAGACAGCAAGAGAGAACGGAAGAGAACTAAGAGAATTTAAGGCAGAGGGAAAAAGATGAGAGACAGAGAAAGAGAGAGGGAGGAGAGGGGAGAGAGGGAAAGATAGAGGAGGCAGAGGGGGAGGGAAGGGACACAGAGAGAGAGAGAGAGAGAGAGAGAGAGAGAGAGAGAGAGAGAGAGAGAGAGAGAGAGAGAGAGAGGACGAAATTGGTGTGTGAGAAAGAAAGTCAATTGGGAATAAATATAAGCGAAGAAAAAAAACCAAGGAAATTAAGAAAAATATAAGCAAATGAAGAAAAAATGCGGGATGAAAACATTGAAAGGATAAGTTGTTTGTGGAGGAAGGGACTGAGCACAGCAGCAGATCGAAGAGCGCTGTCATAAACCAAGAGCCAGGGGGCGTGTCCCTCCACCCGGCCCCAACCGCGGACAACAGGTCGCGCGGCGCCTTTGTTTTATGGATGCGCGGCGTCCGCGTCTCCGCAGCCTCCGCCGGGGGCCACCGGGCTGCGCGGGGGCGGGGCGGCAGGGGCCCGGGTCATCAGTCACTGCCACGAGGCTCCAAGATTGATTCGCACCCTCCCCCACGCTGCGCCGACCACCGCCGCCGACAAAAGTCCAATATCCCGCAAGCTTCTCGCCAAGACGACCGACAAGCAGGGGGGGGGGCGGGGCGGAAGCACGCGGCCCCTTAGACGCAAGGGCCCCTGCAAGAAATGGACTCCGAGAAGATAAGATGGTGTCGCCGCTCCACTTAATGCGTCACCGAGCCTTTGTCTGCGGACGGCGCTCACTTGCACATACACTTCCTTCCTTACATTGCACTGGGTCAGTGCCAGAACGGAATCTACGAGGGAGAACGGAGAGCAGAGTGGATGATGTAGACGCATGGCGACAGGAATTTTATCTAACATAGTGCACAAGGTTTTATTACTACGGAATAAAACATTCCTAGAAATACATCTTATCTGTATGAATACTAAAAATAAAAAGGGCTTCTGTTTTCTGGATTACTCTATTGATCAAATTAATTAATTTTGACAAAGCTAGAGAAATTCTCAAGGGACGAGGAAAACGAATAATCGATACACGTTTATTAAGTTAAAGATTGCAAAACCTTAAAATGAGATTAGATATGTATAGATTAGATAGAAAGAAATACCTACTGAAATATTTTACATAGGATAAAACAGAATCGATCCGTCATGCTTGACGTATACAAAAAAGAAAGAAATTAATAGTTTGATCTTCCAATTCATCTGAACATTTTATATCAATATGAAACAAATGGGACATCACTGGTGTTATAAAACAATAAATGCGATTAAATCGCAGCGGTCGCAGTTATCTTGCTTAATTTACCTAACCATCATGTGATTATTTATCTTCTTACAGCGATTTTAACCTCAAGCCCTCACCCAACCAACTTAGCACTCGTTCTAGGAGTTATCTGCACTCACTAACGAAATGAGATCACTAGAGAAATTTTATCTAACTTAGTTTATCTAACAAGGTTTTTTTACTACGGAATAAAACATTCGTAGAAAAACATCTTATCTGTATGAATACTAAAAATAAAAAGGGCTTCTGTTTTCTGGATTATTCTATTGATCAAATTAATTAATTTTGAGTTTTGCATACAAAGCGAGAGAATTTATGAAAGGACGGGGGAAACGAATAAACGATACACGTTTATTAAGTTAAAGATTGCAAAACCTTAAATTAGATATATTAGCGTTTAGATATGTTATCTGTAAAAACAACCTTTACTGCTAAATAGTAGAGTGAAATGCTTACTGTAATACTTCACATAAGATACAACAGAATCAATCTGTCGTGATTGACGTCTACAAAAAGAAAAAAGTAAATAAGAGTTTCATATTTCAATCAGTCAGAACATTTTGTATCAATATGTAACAAACGGGACATCATTGGTGTTATAAAACAATAAATGCGATTTAATCGCAGTGTGCGCAGTTATCTTGCTTCATTTTCGTAACTCGCGCCGTGTGATTATTTAGCTTCTCGAGGCGAGGCCTCTCGAGCCCTCACCCAACCAACTTTGCACTCGTCCTAGGAGTTATCTCCCCTCACTAACGAAATGAGATCACTCCGCTGAAAAGCGAGTCGAGATTCTAAAATAAATATAGAATTCAGGTTCGTCTCTTCTTTTCCACTGCTTTCTCCTCTTCCTGCTGACTTTCAATTCATTTTCGTGGTAGTTACAAAACCGCCGTTAGTACTCGGTGGGGCAAGCAACGACGATTCATTGCAAAGCAGCTTCAGTTCGTGCGTGAACGCAGTGAAAAAAAGAAGAAGAAAAGCGCGCACGCGAGATTTAACAAACGAGCGTAAAATATCCTTCCGCTTTCCCGCTTCGGAACCAGAAAAAAGTCTCTGCGGCGGGTCGGGGAACACTGGGTCGCCAGATACACGACTCATTTGTTGCGTAACAGAAAATCCCACGCGAAAACAGGGGACGCGCCAGCCAGGATCGGGTGGGGCGACGTGGTTTATGCGACGCTCTAATGAAGGGCTCTGCGTTACGGGCCCTCGTCGCAGCCGCGCCCCGTGCAGTTTAACGCGCCCGACGTTCGTCCTCCTGCATCTGGCGCTGCTCCTCACCGCGTCGCGCGACCCGGGTCTGGGGCGTTGGCGCTCCGAAGCGACACCTGTGCCCGCTTTCAAACCTGCGGTTCGGCGCACTCCGCTTCTGGCTACACGATCCACTGCGCACTTTGCGACCACGAGACAAGTACCACTTTGCCTTTTTAATTTTTTTACTATTTCAAACCGCACAAGCAATGATTGCTCTTGCTTCACATCGTTTTCCGTACTTCGTAGAAATTCCATTTATGGTTTTTCGACGAACTTCTTCCAGACACTTAACACCCACGCACACACTTAACACCCACGCACAGTTACACATTGCGCATCATTTCTTTCATTATTTAACACACATTTTCAACGAAGGATGGCTAATTTTCTATTTACATCATTTGTGGTTTACATATTATCATACTGTTGTAATGTAATAATCCAATGAGGTATTTCGATTTTTTAGGCCCTTTATTTCACTTCGTCTGTTCCCTCAACGACCATTCATATCTGCATGTCACATGCAGTACTCCGTTTTCCCTTAGACATTAAATGTGCATAGATTTTTAATTCATATTTCGTACATTCCCAGGCACCACTGACGTCACGGAAATAGTTTTTACACGGAGAGGCAGACTCATGTCTAAATGTCAGAAGCAGTGCTCCATATTTCTTTCATTCCAAGGCATCGTGCAACCTCATCGACAACATGGGAAAGTAGAGTATGCACGGAGATGAATACATTTGTTGATCTCATAGTTCACCTTATTGATAACAGGAGTAAAAATGTTTATTAAAGCACGCCTGGCCTCGAAGAATGGCATGCGGGTGTGTTGATAAACGCGATGTTCCACGTCCTTTTAGCAACCCGCATGGCCCCGCGAGACCGCACTCTAATTTTCCTTCAATTAAAACTCGTCTCCGACGGTAGACCGGCAAAGGGGAACGAAAGCGAGGGGGGCGGGGCGCGAAGGTCGCTCGGAGGACATGGCGTGGATAAATAGCAGGTCGAGGGCCCTAAGGGACGAGACGGAGAGAGGGGAGAGGGAGCGAGTGAGGCTGAGAGAGAGGGAGAGAGAGAGATAGGCAGAGAGAGACCAAGAGACACAGAAAGAGAGAGACAGAAAGAGTCAGAGAGGGAGAGAGACAGAGATATTCTCAGAGAGGGAGAGAGAGAGATAGGTAGAGAGAGACCAAGAGACACAGAGAGAGACAGAAAGAGACAGAAAGAGTCAGAGAGGGAGAGCGAGACAGAGAGATTGTCAGGGAGGGAGAGAGAGAGGGAGAGAGAGAGAGTTAGGGACAGAGAGAGAGGGACAGCGAGCGTGCGAGAGAGAGAGAGAGAGAGAAAGAGAGAGAGAGAGAGAGAGAGAGAGAGAGAGAGAGAGAGAGAGACAGACAGACAGACAGACTGCTAGAGAGAGGGGGGAGGGGCGCCTCCGTTCGCAAGCGGTGCGTCGCTCGCTCGGCCTCCCGCGTCTCAAATTCCCGGCCGGCAAATCGACTTCCTCTTTGATCTGAAACCAGGCTCCAGGCGTTCGAGTTCCATACATCGACTGCACATCGCACATCGTAGAAGGAAGGCGAGGAGGCCACAGTAAATGCAGCAATTAAAAGCCCCGCGGAAGCCACTCGGGCTCTGTGTTGTGCTGCTTGCTTTGCCGACGCAGCGATTATTGATTACTAGCACTCCAGAGAGAATAATGGTCGTAAAACATATGTCCAATTTTTCTGGAAGTTAAATAGTTTGTGTTAAAGTTCAGGTCATTTCTGAAAGAAAGCATTAAAATGCGAGAGAATAACAAAATAATAATAATAATAATAATAATAATAATAATAATAATAATGCATATGAATTCAGTAACGACCGACGTTTCGCGTTGTTATTTTTAATTTCAATATACACGAACGCAGTGAATTAATTTCTTTTTTCGTACATTATGTTTTAGCAGCTAAATGTATAGCAATATTTCGACGCAACCAATGGTAGCAGTAATATGATTTGATTAATGACACCGAGCAATTCATCACAAAGACCTTCACGATACAAAATTCGACGTATTCGTGCTCATAGTAAAAATAAAAATATTCGTTTCAAAGAACACCAACATATTTGATGAAAAATAGTATTTTAATAACAACGGAGAAAACAAATCTTGCATTTTAATAAAGTGATAATAAAAATTGAATAGCCATTTAAAATTAAATGCACAAATGGCTCAGTAAAATAGTCACTTTGAATCTACTGCGCTAATATAATGAAGCACCGAAAGGAGGGAACTAAAATTTTAAGCGAAAATACTTAGCGGTAAAAAGAGCAAGTACTTCAACCACTGAACTGGCGAAAGGAGCCGTAAAAGATTCACAGAGGTCTGAACGCACCAACGCACGGTAAACGTTAGAGACTGCGCGTAGAATGTTTAAAATGCACAGCAAAGGAGCTAAATGCGTCTATTTATTTAATAAAACATATGCCACTGAAGCTCCAGGAGCAGCATTTCACTCTCGTACAGTTGGTATTGCAGGGAAAAGTTTGCCCGCGTCCTCTCCGAGCACGAGCTGTCCACTTTGAAGGACGATGAGGCGACACGATAGTTGTTGACTGACCAACAGGGCTCTTCCAGACTTATTTCTTTACATTAAAGTCATTTTATTTCAGAAAATGTACCGTATTATGATGAACATACGGTTCAAAAAAGTCTTGTAGATAAAATCAATTATTTCAATACGCGAAGAAAGGCTTGCCATGAGATATACAGCTTTTGGCATAGACAACGAATGAAGGTAGCCCCCAAAAAACTACTCGGAATTATTATTCGAATTTCTGTTTCTAATAGAGGATAAATATGAAATAACATTTATCTAATATTCTGATAAATATGGAAAAGGATTAATTTTTGTTAAAACCTCTGAATTTTCGCAATTTGCTGAAGTTATACTTTTTTAAAATCTGTACTACATCTGAAATATTGAAGCGAGACATTTGTTCTTAGTGAAATGTATTCCTCATTATTATCGCTTTATTAATTTTTTAATATTAATAATTTTCGCGTAATTTAAATCAAATCATGTCAGTTTTTCCGGAAACAAACACTTACTTTTCTCAAATGACTCCAAAATTTATAATTAAAAAATACCCTCTATCATATGGCAGAGGTGTTATTTTCATTAATACCTTCCAGATTTCAGAAACCACAAAAAAGTGTTAACAACCTTCTCGAAGACAGACTTAGATACTGGAAGTATGGAACAGAATGTTTAACGAATCGCGAGAAAAAAATTAACGATTTCTTGGTTTGATTTTCCTCGTATATATTAACAGCAAAAATTAACGCAACCAGCGTCTAAATTTTTCCAATGTTGATTTTCTAGAATAATTCACTAGAGTAACTGAAAAAAAATTGTTTGAACTTGCTTTATCGAATGAGGCAAATCGAAACTCGAGCACTCTTTCAATATTCTCTGAATGCCTGTTACAGCAAATACTCCATCAGTATTATTACCAATAACAGGCAAGCTTCTTTCGACAGTTGGCCAATGTTTTACTTTCTCAGGTTTCTGCATCTTTCCCTCCCCGTGTTCTATTTTTCCAGTTTCCTTTGAGTGCCTCCGGTTCCTCTAATTCCAGCCCCACTGTCCTGGTTTCCAGCCCTCCACTCTCGCCCATACAGCGCGTTTCCACTTTGATGTCGTCGTCGTCGTCGTCGTCCTCCTCCTCCTCTTCCAACTCTCCGGACTTTGCATCTCAAAGTCTTCCCGAGGGGAGCCTCGTTCGGATTCGACTCTATTTGAATTTCGCCCGCGAACGGGTCGGAACTCCTCATTACGTGAATCCGGAAACCGCCGACCTCCTGCTACCTCCCTCGCAACCGCTGCCTCGGGGCACTAGAAGCGACAGCTCATTCGACACCACACCGGAGCCACCAGCCACTCCAGGAAATATCTGTTCAGAAAGTCAGATGAGGCCCATATTTCGCTGGATGACCTATCAATCACCTAGTTGGCTGGTTTTCGACCTTCATTCGTTGGGTTATGAGTGCGTGTCTCGCTTGTAAATTCTATTGGTTGTTAAAAGTTGAGGGGGTCCCAAGCTTGATGGCAACACAATTCACCCACCCCGCGAAGTCAAGGCATGCACTAACAAATGCACTGCGTTGATCACACGATTGTTCATTGCAAGGTCTTGAAGTTCCTGTGTATACTGACAAAAGTTATTCAAAATAAAATAAAAAAATAAAAATGACAAATACCTTTTTCCAGTAGCATTAAATAAGAGCATAAAAAGTCACTATTATAATACAACCCGTTCTATAAAAAAATAACGGCTTTTTCAAAAACTCAGAATTTAGTTAAGACTGAAAGATGAATATATTAGACAGCACTGAAGTTATTCAGTGATTAGTAAAAATCGAGCTGCAAGCAATATTTCTTCTTTTAATGCTATCAAGTGATTACTTTTTGAGACAAATAACATTGCAACAACGATTATCAATTGTCATAATACCTACCTTTATCTGCCTAGGATGTAATTATTTTCAGATCACCTTTTTTATTTCAAATTTCTTTCAGTTATTTAAACTAAGAGGCACTCACAAATGGTTTATAGACGTATTATGTGAAAATATAATATTTAGTTTTTTTCAATTTATCTAATTTACACAATTCCGGCCTGCGCTCGAACACTGGAATAAGAGCAAATTGATGTTGCCGTCAGAAAAATGCCATTTCTGTCGCCATTTCCATCACTCCGTCGCCTCCGCTGCCAAAGAATCCTGGAAAAAGGCGACGGCAATCTCCGGCAGCGAACCAGCGACGCCGAGCGCCGTCCAATTAAGGGCGACTTA